CGAGAATGGGGCACAAAATATGCACCACAAAAAATATGAAATGTGGGGGACGGTAGGCAAGCCCAATGTCCTATAAATACCCTCGCACCCCGTAGTCACTCCTCACCAAGGCATTTCTCGGTGTCCAAATAAGCGCACTAGCGAGCAAAGTTTGTTAGACAGAAATCAAGCATGGCTTTCGGTATGGCTTTCAGGACAGCACTGCTGTGCCTTCTTGGCATGCTGATAGCTTCCCCTGCCATTGCCGTTTCTGATTCTGGTATATACTACCAGATTGGTTTGATGGTATGGACGTGCAAATCATGATAACATAGTGGCGAATTGTCCATATTTTATTTGTTTTTATTGCATCATTCAAAATTTCTACACATGATAGTTACCATTCAGTTGTTCACTGTACTGTACGTGCATATGCCTCACCTAGGACGTGTAGTATGTGTGACACGAACCATCTTGACGGATGTGGACATGCGAGATTATCATGCACGTGGTTTTCTGGACCACCTGCTTGTCGAGGCCATTGGTTATGCTAGTAGTATATTGTTAATCTAGTATTTCACCCACGTTATAATAATCCATGGACACAGTGGCCGGGAGCATACTGCGCGCAGACCACCCGCGGATGCTGCATGCCCAAGAGCCCTATCGTGCCGGCGGCCGACTTCTACGTATCGGGCTTTACCGTCTTCAACGCGACGACCGACGCCCCCGAGACCAGCTGCAGCGGCACTCCTTTCAACTCCGGCGAGGTAAGTAATTTCCAATCCAGCGGTTTGCGGATTCTTACCACTGTGATGCATGCAATGTTTTGCGTTTACTGCAGATTCTGGAAATCAGCGGTCTGAGGCAGTTCTGGAGCAACATCAAGTGCCCCAGCAACAACGGACAGAGCAGCTGGAAGAGCGCCTGGAAGACGTCCGGCGTCTGCTCCGGCCTCGACGACAAGGCCTACTTCCAAGCCGCGATCGCCCTCCGTAGCAAGATCAATCCCCTCTCTCGCCTCGTCTCCAAAGGTGACGCATGCATGCATCCATGGCTCATGAGTCATGACCCCGTTTTCTTGGAAAGGAAATCATCACCATTGAGTACGTACTGGGTGCTGTCATTGCAGGGATCAAGCCGGACTTTGGCCTGTACAGCTTGGAGAAGATCAAGAAGGTCATCCAGGCGGGCACCGGCGTGACGCCGGTGATCCAGTGCAGCAAAGGGCCGTTCGATAAGTTCCAGCTGTACCAAATCTTCATCTGCGTGGCCGGGGACGCCAAAACGCTCATCGAGTGCCCGAAACCGCAGAAATTCACGTGCTCCGACGACATCCTCTTCCACCCCTTCAAGAAGTGGATGCTAAAGCAGGCCGCGTCCTCGGTGTCCTACGCCGAAGCATTCGAGATGGCCGGAGCTGTCATGGGATACTGAGCTGCAGCTGCAGATCGGTAGCCGGTCGGGCCCTTGACCGGCCTCGTTTTGTGAGTTGCGTTCAAGCGAATAATTAATAGTAGTATATGCATGGAATAATGTTTTCGCCTTTCCGGACATTTCATCTCGCGCGTGGTGTGATAATAATGTAATCCTAGGGTACCGCAATATTGATTACCAAGTCGATCTGTAACGCTTTCATGAATAATAATAATAATAATAATAATAAAACAATAGTACATTTGTGTCTTTTTTCTTTTATTTCCAAAGTATATGAAATATATGGGGTAACTACTCCGTGTGGTAGGATGTATAGGATAGTTACCCCACATGTCTCATATACTATCATATGGTAATATATATACTACTTTATCATTCTAAATATGTTCATATATTATATCTAAATGATTGTGCTAATGACCGGACGACAGGATTTTAGCTATAGGCGCGGACGATTGCGCAAAGACGCATACATGCAGGAGCAGCGATGACGACCTTGCATGCGCGCGTGAGCTTGCAGCAGCATTGTTAAACATACATGCATATAACAATAAAACTGTTGATGTCATCAAATATTCCTCTGAAATTCAAACTTTAAAATGTTTTGTAGCATAAACCATAGCTCCGATTGAAAAACGGTTTTCACATAAAAGATTCGTCGCCACGAGATCTTCGAATCTAGATCCCATGTTGGTATGTTTCGATGACTTTTTTTCGAGGTCAAAAGTTATCAGGCCCCGGCTAAGTAAGTTATCACGTCTACGATACATAAGTTGCCATTTTATTTATATAGAAATTACCGGGGCACAAAAGTGGTCCTCCAATTCTCCCGACATGCAAATGAATTAGAAGAACAAAACGTTGATGTCATCTTTGATTCCTCTTTATTTTAAAACTTCAAAATGTTTTTTAGCTCAAACCGTTGGTCTGATCGAAAAGATTCACGAAGAAAGCATCAAAACTAGACACTATGTTGATTTGTTCACACAACTTTTATTTCGGATCAAAAGTTACCACTTCTGGGCTAAGTAAGGTATCACGCATGAGCCACATATGTTACCATGTTGTTTACACAGATATTACCGGGGCATAAACCTTCTAACTTTCTTATCAACTTGGGTTAACCTTCTTATCAGATATATGATGCGTATAGTACCATGCTATTCACACAAAAGTTACCGAGGGAATATTTCATCAACCCCTCCCCCCCTCATGCCAAAGTTATCAGGACCAAGGTATATAAATTATCATGGTTTGCGATATGTGAGATACCATGCTATTCACACAAAAAGTTACCGAGGGGATATTTCA